AAAAAACAAAATATAGAAAAGGGCATGTGCGACACATGTTTTATGGGTCATTTTACTCATATAATTCAATAGGCACACTCAATAAGTGATATGGACCACCTCTGGATGAATTTCAGGTCGAGGTCAGGTCAAGGTCAGGTCAAGTGAGGTCAAATTTTGAAGTTAGTTGTTAAGGCCTAAAAAGGTGTCTATCTGATGCAGTTTTTCACGGCGAATCGAATGGTGCTATTTTTGTTTCCGTACGAGGTCTAGAACTTCCAAAAAAGTCATTTTTCAAAAATTTTGTGTGTCGTGACGTCATAAAATTTTGAATAACTCCCACATTTTTTGAACCGATTCTTCTAAAATTAGGTATGTAGGTGCACATAGACCATTTCTCTGACATATATTCCGGTTTTTTCGATAGACTCAAAATTTTGGATTTTATAATGATTTTCCCAAAAAAATCAGTTTTTTGAAAAAAATTAGGCCAAAATCCAAAATTTTCAAAAAACCGAGATAGTCATTTGATAGACAAAGTAAAATTACGTATAACTTTTTTTGTTACGTCTTGATTCCTTTAAAAATGAAGATGTTAGCGGCGTTTGAACTTTTGCCGTTTTTGAGGCGAAAATGGCGAACATGACGTCACTAAAACGTCAATTTCTCAAAAATTTTCCGACGGATTTCGCTCAAATTTTCAGGGAAGGTGTCAAATTGATGTAAGAAAAGGTACTGAAAGTTTGCCGTTTTTGAGATATCGCAAAAATTCGCGAGGGGGGGTAAAATTTACCCCCCCCCCCCAGCCCCGCGCGGGTTAAAATCTAAAAAATTCGAAAAATCGCAATTGAGTTTTGTAGCCCTCTTGATTCCACACCTTTTATGTCAAAAACATTTTTCTGTACCTATATCTAAAGCTGTAGGCCTGACAGCTCTTCCCGCGAAACCTTTTTTGGGTCGAAAATGGCAGAATTGACGTCACTCTGACGTCATTAGCGGCCAATCTATCATAGCCTTTGGAAAAAATTTTTGGTCACCATGTGCGCTAACTACTCCCGGGAGGGTACTGAAAGTTTCGTGACGATCGGCGCAGCGGTTCTCGAGATATATCGAAAAAACTAAGGGGGGGGCAAAAAAATGCCCCCCACCGCCTGGATTCTCTGGCAGTACTGGAGCGCTACGAAATTGCGGCATATTTGGACCGTGCCGAATCGATGCTCGCTAATGTTGTCATCGGTCAGTCACCTAACGTAATCTGACGCTGCTGTTGGTGTCACAAGATTCATAAAAGATAAACGGTTATGCATGCCAACTTTCAGCTATCCATTACTAACATGTAGGGGAAGCCGGGGGAAGCACGGCCACCCCGTTTCCGGCTAAATTATTCATAATAAAATGCTAAAGTGTTTGTCCTTTCAGCGTGGCAGCTGAGGTAACGCCAGCGTAAAAGTTAACGCTAACATGTTGTTGTTATGTTGAAAACCAGTAGCAAGCACACTCGAAACGTGAAATAGTGATACAAATTACCCCACCATGTGATATAGCAACTCACCCAAGCCATGGGGCAAGTTGTATCAAAAACTTTGTTCTATTCGACAGACCGTAGAAGAAAAACTGGTAGAGGTAGCGGAAAAGTTACTTTGCACAAAAAGCAGAAGAATCAAGGAAGGGGATAAAATGGAAATAATGAGTTCATCACGGATAGTTACGAGGTTATGAGTCTCGGGGTAAAAACTGATACAACCCACCCCACTCTCCCCTACCCCAGTAAACATGCCGACGTCGGCCCGACGTCGGGCCGAGGCTCGGCCCGACGTCGGCCCAACGTCGGTTCAACCTCGGCCCGACATCGGCTGGACGTCGGATATGCCCGCATGTTCCGACGTCCAGCCGAAGTCCAGCCGACGTCGAGCCGACGTCGCGCCGAGGTCGTTTGCCGAGGTTGACGAGATCGTTCGTCGTTGGACCGACGGGGCCGACGTCGGCATGTTTATTGGGACAAAGCGCCAAAAATATCAACCGGCGGCGGGATTCGAGCCCCCAGTCGCCGACGTCGGCATGTTTACTGGGACAACACGCCAAAATCATCGGCCGGCGATGGGATTCGAACCCCGTGTCATTCGAACGCGAGGTTAGTGTGCTAACCACTACACCACGCAGCCAACTAACAAAATTTGGATTGTTTTGTTGGGTTATGCCCTTTCGGTCTGACAAGACCATTTCAGAGCCGGAAGGATCATAGGATGCACGGTGACTATAAATACCTACGTACCTATGCTTGCCTACGTTCAGGCATTACCTCTGATGGTAATACGCCCAACATTGATGTGTTGTCTGTCAAACAACAATCGACGACGGGATCCCTTCTCATCATCTCTTAAGCCATCGGTTGTCAATTCACCCACCCCGTTTCCCTAAAAATAGACGGTCAGATTCGGCCTGGGTCCTTACGACCCCTCTAAATTCGCCAGAGACGGGATCGGATCGCCGTTATTGCACCCGTCTTAGTGTCTTAAATACTATGACAGCTTCGACCACGGACGTCGGACGGGGTGATCGTTCCACGAATGTACGCACCATCCAGGCCTAGGATGCATCGAGGTTTAAAAGGATGCAGTCTGTAGATCAATCAACAAACAATGGTGGTATGCAACCACTTTAAAATATCTCCCTGGCTCCCGCAACGTTCCAACGCCCCTCCGTTATGCATTTGCCCTGTGTGTCCGCCGAGCCGGCTTGCCTCCAATGACGTCATCGGCCGGCCGGCGGCGTTCAAGGTCAAACGGCTGGTGTCCTTACCTGGAGTTCTATAGCCTTGATAAATACGGTGATCTCATCTGGATTTGGTCACGTGATCATTTTCGAGCGCAGCGCACGTGCAGTTGTGGCGAGGGCACTTCCAGAAATTCTGGATCCATGCGATTTTGGAGCCAATGTAAAGTCTATGGGGAAATGGTTCATTTTTATTTGTTTTTCTTATCACACCTAAACTTTCAAGTTTTTCTCAAAGATACACCCTGATTCATGTGTAGAATTGATTGGTCTTTCATATGGTATCAATTTTAGATTTTTATCGGATAATTTCAAAAACTACTTACCATTTAAACAACAAAAAGAGGTGATTGCGGCTAAGCATTGCGATAGGATGGAGACATTGATCTTCTTGGCGAGCACCCTGGGTCCAGTTCATGTAGAGTCCCTGGTCCCATTGCTGTTACGTGACACTTATTGGAAAGGGCGACCCCACAATGGATTCATATAGCCACTCTTACACACCTGCACCAACGTTTCCCAAAGTGTCCCTTTGATAAGTGGCACTTTGGCAAAGTGACACTTGCCGACTGGCCTTTCTATATGAACTGGGCCCGGCCCTGGTGAGTTGCCGGGGCTGAGCCTGACCAAAGGATAGGCCGAGCAGCCCCCAAGCACTCACCGCACCCGGCTACGGGCGAGCTCGGCTTACGGGCAATCCCAAATGGGATAAAGTTTCCCGTCCAGTCCGGATCAGGGGGTTGCGGCGTGGAGGAAGATTTGAGTTTCCTGAGGATATTTTGAATACAGAAGCTCTTTATGAAACATGAAACATGTATTTTATATTATTTTAACGGTCAAAACAGCGGCCGATGTCGGTCCGACGTCGCCCCGACGTCGGCCCGACGTCGACTGGACCTCAGCAATTGATCTCGGTCCGACGTCGGCCCGACGTCGGCTGGACCTCGGCTGGACGTCAGAACATGCGGGCATATCCGACATCCAGCCGACGTCGTGCCGAGGTTGGACCGACGTCGGGCCGACGTCGGCATGCCGATGCCGAGTTGCCGACGTCACCCCGACGTCGGCCGACGTCGGGCCGACGTCGGCATGTTTACTGGGACGCCTATAGACAGTGCATGAAAAGAAGTAAGAACCACTTTGTTGTTATGGTTTGCCCCTCCCAAAACTCTGAGCTGGATCCGCCAGTGCGACTCTCATAGCCGGCAATGGCATTCTGGAATTTGATCCCTCTGGCCTCTGACCCCTGGGCGAGATCGCTGGTATGGAGTTCAGTTCAGCTGGGATTCTAACCCCTTCGCCCCACACAGGATTTTTGTCTCTGCAACGTGATAAAAAAAAAAAATGTAATACGTGAAACCAGTGGCGGCGGAACACGTTCAAGTAAGGGGGGAGGCACCACCGACTTTCCGTCCAATTCTTTCCATGCAACGCCCATAGGGCCCAGCTAATGTTGAAATGCGTAAATCAAAGGGGCCCCGGTGCCCCGGTGCCCTCCCCGTTCCGCCGCCTGGCTATGCGTGAAACGTAATATGGGAATCGGGGTCACCGTGAAAGGTCACCAGAGTTCACCTTTTTTCAAAGTCCGGCTGATAGGTAAGCCCACTTGTTTCAAAATAAAACTTTAAATATTGATTATTGAATTCAATAATGCAGCCAAGAGCACGGGTAGTCAGTTCAGACTTGTCAAAGTTGTCACAGTAGAACAAACCTTCGCCAATTACCTATTCCTTATAGGAGAAGACACGGTGACTATGAATAGGAGAAGAGTCGTGAAACAACTCTACTTGTCTATTTCGTATAAAGAGAGCGAGCAGTTGGTACCTATAGGGCTGGTATAGGGCAAGGCTATGTAAACCAAGGCTATGTAAAAAAAGGCTAGGCATGAAAAATGTAAAAAATACGTAGGTAAAAGTAAAGGGGGTAGAAGAGATGTGAAACAACTCCTCTAGGTACGTACTTCCTTCAATAAGCTACCACTAACCACCACAACATTTTCACCAGTCATTCAGGTCACTTGAAGTCACCATATTCAGAATCATGAATAAAACCGGTAAAAAGTTTAATGGTATACTTTTTGAAGATCTGATCACTGACGGTTTCTTTCTAAATATGACATTTCTAGATTAGCAGTGAAATAGGGCTCTTTCTTGTTTTGGTAATAGCAGTTCTTTAGACAGAATCTATATACAGCAATGACGCAGCTGAGATGTTTCCGACGCAGCCAAATGACCTTGCCGGAAGCGCTACTTGCGTAAACAAACCTGATATGCCGATGCGATGACCTCGATCTCTGCCCTCTGACTCGAGTGCGGCCGGCCTCGTCACATACCGGGGCTCGAGATCTTTTTATCTGTCTCATCGTGGTCAGTAGGAGGGCGGTGGGTGGGGCACTTCCTGCCGGAAATCTTCACTACACTGTGAAAAATACAGTGCAAAACGTCGTGCCTCACCATCACGAGCCCAGGCAGTGACGTGAGGATAAACTCGATTGCAGTTTTGATCTGATAATTGATAGGTAAGTGATCTTTGTATATTATTTTCCTTTAGGTAAATGGTAATATTGGATGTTGATCAATATTTTTATTAATTTGCACTGTCAATGTAAAAAATACAGTTAACATCCAAGCATAATTGTAATGGTAGGTATAAAGTAAAAAGCAGTTTGAGTTGCAAAAAAAGTGGAAAGCAAGAGCTGCTTTTACTGAGACATTGACATGTTTTATCACATTGAACTAGTATAATCATTTTTGAGCATTATTTTCTTTATAAATGTTTCTATTGATTTGATGTGTGTTTATGTGTGTTATGTGAGTAGGTACGCACACTCACATTATGTGGGATTGATTTGCGAAGATGAGAACGCTTCTCAGTTCAATGGTGCTGAACATTTGAAGCTATTTTTCTCTGATATTGAATGGAAACACCAGAATATTTTTTTCTATCCATGTCAATGTTGTGCTGGGGAATTGGGATGTTCCTATTGATATGACTTCCTATCTGTATGAAAGCAATAATTTTGAAACACATGTGTTGTGCCTCTTCTTTTCATTGTGAAACTTGTAACATTATGGGTATTTACATTGTTGTCAGTCAGTGCTCACATACTTCCAAAATTTTCATTTTGAGTTTGACTCATTTCAGGCTGCTTTTTTCATTTGTTTTCATTTTGAAACTGTGCCTTTCAACAGGAGCTTGCAATGCAGCCATTAGTGTCAGTGAATACATATATGTTCTACATACACTGTGCAAGGTGCATCTTTGATCTCAACATCACAATAATTATTTCAGTATATGTCTAGTCCAACTGTCCTATGCCCCTTGGGGAAAAATTCTCTTTTTTATTTCTCAGTTCTATTTTGTGATCAGAGGGTTGTTAAAAAGCTTCCACTTCTTTACAGTTCACAGTCGCCATGTTTCAATAAAACATTTGCTCACATCATGCTGCTCCAATAGGCAGTAGGCACCAACACACATGAGCTAAAAGAGTTGTAGCTGTATGAGCAATGATCATGTATTTGACATATGATTCAAGGAACTTTTTAATAGTCTCTCTGATGTCCAGTTTTTTTCCTCCAATATAACAGTGAATCCAGTATACATTCAAGAAATAGTTTTCCTTTTTTTTTTAATACCACACACTACTTTCTCCAAGTTATTCCTGGTTCCACTGCTTTTTTGTGGCATTCCTGGTGTCCCTATATGTATAATACATGATATACATACAATATATGAGAGTTGTGACAAGATGAAGTTGACATTGAAATGAATGTGTATGTTTCAAGCCCTGGAGAATGGAGATTGACCATCCTATTTCTGTTGGTACAGACATGGCTGGTCACAATCGCAGCCACGGCAGGACGGAGCCATCCGGTGACCGCGGCGGCGGCGGTGGCGGGGGCGGGGGCGGTCCCCGACCGCGACTGCGACGTACCACCTCCATGGGCCGTGCCGAGGACATCACCCAGACCGAGCAGAAAATCCGACACAGCCAGCCGGACCACCCGTGAGTAAGGTATCGCCGTGAGTGCGGCTGTACTCGGTCAAAAATACCCGTGAGGTCGGCTGCACTTGGTCGAAAATACCCGTGGGTGCTTCTGCACGTGCGGATGTACTCGGTCAGAGTTAACCGTGCGTGCGGCTGTTCTCGGTCAGAGATAACCGTGAACACAGCTGTATTATGCAGTCGAAACTAGCCGTAAGCGCAGCTGTATTCAGTCGGAGCTAACCATGAGAGTACTCGGTCGGAGTTAACCCTCGCCCGTATAGTCTAACGGAGACCCCCCTTGGTTTTTCGCGAATAACTCGCGTAAAAAGCGGCCGATCTCGACGAAACTTTCAGTACCCTCGAGTTGATCAATTTCACACCTACCCTGAAAATTTCATGACCCTGACCCAAATGACCTTTGACCTGTGACCTACTTTTCGAGACCATGTTTGGCCGGAATCGCGATTCGGCGTATGTCGGCTCGCATTAGCCGCGCGTTTGCAGTCTTTTCGTGGTTTCAAACGTTCAGACATGTGAAATGATGTTCGTCCCATGCATAAGGGTGGGTGTCAAGGTCACCTGAAGGTCAGGTCAGGTCATTGACCTTTGATGGCCTCGGTTCACTTTTTCGAGCTTTACATGTTTCTCGGCCAGTTTTTGGAGCTGAATTCAAATTTAGCAACCATATGGATATTTACGAAGTAGTTTTGGTGCATTCGTAACATGTTACGAAGCTGTGGCAGGACCCCTACTGGTTGACCTGACCTGACCCGACCTGGCCTAAATGCATAAAGACATCATCTGTGATCAAAACTAATATGATATTCGTGATCAGCACCCCGGAAAACCCCTAGCAGCCACACTTTACGACGTTCTAACAGGTCCCGATTTTCCCGACTTTTGGGTCATTGACCTGACCTGGAAGGTCAACCAATGAACTAGGACCTTAAAATTGGGTATCGTCGGCTTCCTCTCTTTACGGGCAACACGCTCGTTTTTTTCCGCGAAGCTCTAGCTCGATCAGGGGCGAAACGGCAAGGGGGGGGGGGTCCAACGGACCCCTCCCCCTTATACGTTCACGGCTGGAAAAACACCATTAACGGGCGAGGAAAAACACCATTAACTTGAAACAACTGCCTTCAACTCGAAAGTCGGAGTCCGTCAGATTTCGTCGTTTCCTACCCCGTCGTCGTTTTTCCGACGTTCCGATGCGACGTTACCCGAGACTCCGTCCAAAACTGTTGACTCCGGCTAACTCTGGCACATTCTTTGTTACCTCGTATGAAAATGTGTCCAGATTCATCACAGAAGTACTTTGATCCTTTTTATTGTCAAACCAAAAGTGGGATCGACACGTTTTGCTGTCAAAGGTCAATATTTCCTATTTTACGCGCATTTATTGGCAAGAGGAGTCACAACTTTTGATCGAGATGAGCTAGATGAGGACTGGTGGTTTCTATCAAAAGTCATCTTCTCGCACGGGCTCTCCTGAATTATGTCGTCCCTTCGGAATTACATAGCTGGATATGATTTCAGGTCTACGGTTTTGTTTCGAAACAGATATCAAAATGACCGACGACCGTTTTGTGATGAAACAGACTTGTTAAGGCGTATCTACAAGTTGCAGTTCGTGGGTTTACAGAGCTGGCTACAGTTCTTTACACTTACCTAGTTTCCCCTTGACGCTTGGGTGATATGAAAGTTAACGGGAAAATGCCAAATAGCCTCAAACTGTACTGGAAATTGAAATGATTCAATGGTATCCAGTTCTTCTGATGCTTGTAGTGTGTTCATATCAAAACTTATCTCCGAAGTTCGAACATAATCTCCTGGGCCCTGGCACTCTGTTTTTTTTTCTTCAGTACACTGTCAGACTTTGCAGCGATTTCAAGTTTATCATCACCGATTAGCATTCACGTGTCTGCCGTCGCGTTGTGGCCACTGCCCTCTGACTGTTGGCGCGTGTGGTGGTGACGGGCGGTCTTTGTTTTCAGAATACACAAACACGGCGACTCGCTGCTGTCCTGGAGGGCAGGGTTTACGGAGTATGGCGGTAAGACGATTCGGCAGAAAATGTGCGACACTGCCCTTTGAACTCACTAGTCGCTGGGGAGAGGAATATGTGTTGATAGTGTGGAAACTAATTATGAAACGCCTTCGTGATTGCTGCCTACTGCCTAGTGATCAATAAAATCTGCAGCAGCTTTGGTTGTCTTGATTAGGTACTCGAAAATGAACGAACTTTTGTTTTTGAGTAAGTCACTGACGCTCTTGTATTTACAAATACTGCTTGCAGGTTTTGTCAACTGGGGCTTCACTCTTCTTTTCCTGGGAGGCGCGAGGCTGATGCTGGAAAACATTCGCAAGTACGTATCATGGTGTATTCTCACTGCCCATCTTCACAGCTCGTCACTATAAAATATCCGTTCTTATGATGCATTTATGCGGGGTGACTTGAATCTCACGGACCGGTGTCTCTCCGCCAGGTACGGTCTCCTGGTGGACCCGCCACAGTGGTTCTACACGCTGAACGGAGGCCCTTTCCGCTTCGGCGACCGCTACCCATCGCTCATGGTTCTCATCTGTAAGTAAACACCCGGCTGCGTACTGATAGAGTGCCGCACTTTATGCCAGAACGTTCCTAGAGCTGTGTGTGTGTGTTCAAAATATTTTCTTTAAACGCAACTGTAATAAACGCCAGTGGCCTTTCATTATATTTTTTTTTATTTTTTTGGTAGATTTTATTTAGTTTTGACTCGCAAATAGTCCTTGACAGTTGTCTATGAATAGCGTGTGTGTTTGCATTTTTTTACACACATTTTCCGGTTATGATTTAGGCTAGAAATAATGATATGCGTTGAGTAAGCGATGTGTTTGCTAGCTGCATGCCCGCATTGTTACACGTCTTCAGTCTCTCCGCTGTTCTCGCTAGTCTCTTCTGTCTCTCTCCGCACGTAGAATCTCCGCCGATCCCAGACCGCAGCACTGTGCACCCCTCCGGCATGCCCTAACGCCTCCCCGTCTGTGTGCCCTGCTCGGCGCGTGCCCGTGCCGCCGCTCAGACCTGCAGGTCCACGCGTGGGCGGCGCTGGCCATAGAGAAACTGCTCGCACGGGTGAGTGTCGGTGGTGTGGTGGCTCCTGGTCGCGGTCCGATGTTATACCTACCAACTGCCGCGTCAGGGCGGATGGCCCCTTCCGGCCCGGCTGATGAGCAGAACCGCGGGTGTGGGCAGCGTGTGCGAATGCCACTTGAACAGTGGCAGGTTTGCGGTGCCCTGAGGTTTGCCTTCTTAAGTGGTGTATATGTCACAGTTACTCATGTCAATGGAAACTATAAGAAGTTTATGAAATATATAAGTTAGTTCGGCCGCAATGATGACAATCCTAGTGGTTACATTTTTCACAATACTTTTTGATGATATAACGTTCCATTTTCTTTGCTAAAGGTATCAAATGTTTGTGATTTTTCGTTTCTGCTACTCCGGAAGATGTATTTAATATCGACATTTTTTTTCTCGATGCGTTGTCGCAACGATGGAACTCAAGGGTGTTTTCTCGTAAAAAATGACATATGGGCGTGTCGTGTTGTGGCCTTTTATTGGTCCTACTCTCCTCCCGTGTTTTTTCTACTGATGTTTTCTTCTTTATCTTTTGTACATTATGCGTAAACGAAATGTCTGTTTTCTTCCTTTTTCTATCATATTAGACATTTGCTTTGGATGTGTCGTACCACACTGCAATATACCTTTTCTTTTGTACATTAATTAAAACATGTTTTAATTGTTGGCGTGATTTTTACAGTTTGGTTTTTGTGCTTCATTTATGTGCTTCATGAGCTGTATGTGGAAGGAGGCAATAAATAGGACTTGTTAAGTAATCATTTTCTCCTTAGGTAATGAACATCTCCAAGGCCGTATTTTTCATATCCTTCGACTCAACAGTGCTTAAGAACGGCATAAGTACCTAATAGAACGTCTTTTCCTGGTTTCAGTGCGTTTTAGAAACGGTTTAGGTCATGAGCTAGCTGATAACCGCAGGTTGTTTGGAAATCAGACAAACACTATTCGAGCATTGCGTTTTTCTATTGATAATATATGCGGTAGCAACATCTAACGGGCAGTACACAGTTTTTTTGCCGGATCACGTGACCTCGACGTGACCCGTTTGCAGTCGGTCATCCGGCCCAGCTTCGGCGTCTTCCTGCAGATCGTCAACATCATCATGATCCTGATGGTGCCGCACGTCGTCGTCACCTACCTGGAAGCAGTCCCACTGGGTAATTAACCAGCCGCTGCATTGAAATCAAACGACGTGGACATTGTCTCTTTGCAATATTGTATATGAGGCAGTACAATTTTACTGGTATTCATGATCAGATTTGTCTACAAATCTACACTGTGTGCCATCACCTAACTGTGTGCCGACACCTAACAATGTGTCGCTGCTGAGGCCCCTTTACCGCTGACCCTTCATTACCGCCTGGGCGACGACCTCTGAGCCTTCACCCACCCGGCGGCTGACCTCTGACCCCTTACCACCGCTGACCCCTGACCCTGCAGCACCTCTGACCTCCCGTCTCTCCCCGTCCAGTGGGTCTGACCTGCGTCTGCTGGTGCTGCGTGGTTCTCTCCCTGAAGCTGGCCAGCTATGCCCATGTCAATTCGTGGTGTCGCCGGGATAGAGGCGGCACCCAGCGTCGACGAAGCCTCTCCTACAGCAAGTCCAGTGAGTAAGGGTATGCTCGTTCGAGCCGGGCGGTTTGCTGTGCTGATTAGTTGACGATCAATCAAATGTGAAATTCATTGTGCGTGGGTATTGGTGATTGGATTAAAAATAAAGTGTTGCCCTTAGTTACTTGATAAGTAATCATGAGAGTCACTGCCTTTGAGTTATTGTTCAAAGGCTTTTTAGCATGTAGTTGAGTTGGAATCGATACGTGTTCCTTTTGCAATGTACCCTAATCAACTATATCACCGGCATCCTTCCTTTGTAGTCTCACACGCCATGTAGGTACTGCATAAGTGGGCTTTCTCACCGAGTATCTACCGATTCCAGTGGAGCCTGCCACACAACGTCCTGCTTTACTAGCTCTTCTGACCTATTGTCTACCGATTCCAGTGGAGTCTCTCAACCCGCCGGCCTCTGATCGAACCGAGGTGGATTCCGCTCCTGAAGGGGTGGCTATCAGGAAGCTGGTCCACTACCCGGACAACCTGAACCTGTTTGACCTCTACTACTACCTGATGGCGCCCACGCTGTGCTACGAACTCAACTTCCCGCGCTCGGACCGACTGCGCATCTGGTCAGTGGTCCACCAGCTCTCTCTATCTGGATTTGACGCCCACTTTATGCATACGGTTCCCTACTTTTACCGAATCGCTCTGCGTAATGACGAAAACTTCTGCACAATTTGGTACTGAAAAGTGAAAACTATACATGCAGGCTATAGTTATTGCTTTTTTAAACTGGAAAGCCTCATGAGGACAATCTTAATGGTTATCAACATATTTTAAATCTCCAACTCCTCAGATGAATCAAAAGATGAATGACAAAATTTGCAATTCGTTTATATTCTAGTACGACTGTGTCGCAGCCGGCTCTATTGGTTACTTCTTCAAACTCAAGTCGGTAAAGGGTCACGTGTAGTGGCTTCGTTTACGTATAATACTGGTGCGAGTTGCGACAGACCTGAGGAAGTTAACATGTTCTTTATGCGTGGCAGAGCTTCCCTCTCTCCGAAACAACCTACCCCAAAATTCCAGCTTATAGAATGCAGGCCTAAATACCGTGTTCTGTTTCCTCCCGGCAGGTTCCTGGCGCGGCGCGTGCTGGAACTGATCGTGGGCATCAACATGATGGTGGCGCTGTTCCAGCAGTGGATCATACCCAGCGTCCGAAACTCGCTGGAACCCTTCTCGGTCAGTGGTTACGCCGCCCTCCCGACATATAGCCATCACGGCCCAAACCTTCTTACTAAACACTGGATACCGGCCAAAGTCCCGCCTGATACTGTCCTGTGGTCCTTATGGATGATGCTGGTCTGACGACGTAATCAAACATTTGAACCCTTCTGAATGTTTCACCATAATAGCTGATATTTGTCGACTTTGATTCTCATCGTAAGAACTGCCGTGAAGGAGGCCGAAGGGCGTGGAGACCTACCACGTTTTCTACAGAACATCGGCGCCATCTCTTGCCAGCGCTCAGTGCAAGCCAGTGTTCAATCAGCCATCGCCTCACCTCCCCTACCCCTGACCACCTCGTCGCGTCTCCTGTCTCACAGAAAATGGACATCACCCACACCACGGAGCGTCTGCTGAAGCTGGCCATTCCCAACCACCTGCTGTGGATCGTCAGCTTCTACCTCATCTTCCACTCGTACCTGAACCTGATCGGCGAGCTGACTCAGTTCGGAGACCGCCGCTTCTACCTGGACTGGTGGAACGCGCCCGACATCAACACCTTCTGGAGGACCTGGAACCTGCCCGTGCACCGCTTCGCCATGAGGTAGGCCCGGCTGTCCTAACTTCATATTTCACCTACCGCGTAGATGCTGTCTGTTACGAACCTCTTAATTTAATTCGCAGCTTTGTCCATTTCTGTGGGCCAAATAGGCGATTTTATATGTTGTACGTTAATACAAGTTTTGAAGTTGCTATTCCCTACGTTTTTCACTGATATCCCTTACCAACGTTTACCGGAGCTAGGCCGAACGATTCAGGATTAGAAACTTTGTTTGAGTGAATTTCAGCATCATTGTCACCGATAACGCGTTTCGCGTCATTACATGTCATTTGTGTCGAACCATCTGCACTCTCCCTTCAGAATCAACCCTGGCCTTTACCTTGCCATCATGCACGTCACATTCAATGTGTCCGTGTTTTTCAGGCACATTTACCTGCCGCTGCTGCGACACCGGTTCAGCAAGTTCTCGGCGGCCGTGGCGGTGTTCTTCCTGTCGGCCTTTCTGCACGAGTACCTGGTGGCGGCGCCGCTGAGGCTCCTTAGAGTCTGGGCCTTCCTCGGCATGATGGCACAGGTGAGCCGGGGAGGGCGAGGGTGCGGAAGGAGCCGTCGCCTGAAGGGAGCAGTGGGGGTCGCCTGGTTTCTTTAGTAAACAGAGCTGACGTGGTCAAGAATTACGTTAGGTGACATTTGTAGGTTATTGACTCAACTTTTTGGAGGGGTACTTGAGTGCGTGAACGGCCAGACGTCAGTTACTGAGGCATTATAGAGTTTCAGTATTTTCTGGTCAATGCATTTTAAGATAATTATGAGATGGGGAGCTGGTGGATGAGTTATCGACTTTGCTATCCAATGGTACTGACTGCTAGCAGAAAACTTAATTGGTATCGGATGGTAAATAAACACTAACTGTGCGCCTGTGTCCCCACAGATCCCGCTGGACACGCTGACCGTATTCGTACGGAAGCGGTTCTCCCCTCGCCTGGGTAACGTGCTGGTGTGGCTGTCACTCATCATCGGCCAGCCTATGGCCATCATGATGTACTACCACGACTACATCATCGAGCGACAAGATATCGCCGCCGAGTAGGTCTGTCAGCGGGGGTGTCTGCCGATCCGCGGCACGTGGGAAGACATGCGGGTAGACGTTGGGTTGTAGGAGACGGTGAGAGTGGGAGTCTACCATAGACTCTGCTGTGTGAGGGGCGTAGATGTTTGGTTAGTTAGAGTGATAGTTGTTGCTGGGCGGTGCAGTAGTGAGCTTTGGTGACGTCTTTGTTACAAATTATTGACGTGCCGTCTAGAATCAGGGGTTTGATCTGAATATCGATGATTGTTTGGGCTAGCGATGTGGATGATCAAAGTGTGATCGATGGACTAGGTTTTCAGAGGCATTTCTACGCACATTCCCGGTTTGATTGTTTTACGTTTTGATGCATCTCACTCATGGCCATAGTCACAGAGTCTGATGACCAGATGCTCTATTTCTATTTGGTTCCTGGCGAGGGCGCTTTACGTACCATGTGGCAATTATGTCTACTGGCTTCAATAATGAAATGAACGACTTCAACTAGTTATGTGCTGGAATGTCAGGAAACCATTTGGAGTCACCCTGCGACGGTACATGTGGCTAGGTGGTAGATGTTTTGTATTTGTGAATTATTTGGAGCCGAGCTTATCCTCTTACACACAGCAGATGGCAGCAATATTTGGCTGTAACAAACGTGCATTGATCGCAAGCGTTCGTGGCGGCTGCTCGTGATAGGTGCCGTAATCTACTGTCCCTTTTTGTCAACGTCAGTTAATTACAGTCTTGATATCTTGTGTACTCCCGAGCAGAATGACTGGAATCGTTACATCGAATTCTATGAGTGATTCGGGCATTGATTGGCCGTGATGGGTAACGATAGTGATTGTGCCAATATCTATGGGGGTATATCTGTTTAGGTAATTTTGCTAGTAGCTTTTCAAAGTCAGAATCGCGTTTGTTAGTAATGTGCATGTAATTTTGATAAAACGGGCAAATTATACTATGTTTGAAACGTCTTCGTATGTGAAAACCTGAATGCTCATCGCAAAATAATCATGACATGTGTATGAGCGATCCATGGGATATGCGTGGGCGTGCTGAGAGGCTTTCGCCATTCAGCTTACAAACTGTAAGATGAATGGCGGTCGGCTTGGCGACAAAAGTAGTGTAAACTCAGCGGATGCCTGTTTCACGTGCAGCAATCCTAGCAATCCAAGGATTGCACAAAGCAATCCTAAGACTGGGTGGAAGCTTGCCATATTATTGTTGCGGATTGAGCGACAGGGTAGACAGGAGATAGGTGACCTATATTTGGCAGCGCTCGATTTGGCAGCCCTGAGCGCTGTGGCGTCGTTGCGTCTGTTGTGTGAGTCATTCGCGGCGTATGTGCGTAGCAAAGGGTCGACGATCGTTGCGCGAGGACCCGCCGGTTCAACAGTTATGTAACCCGGTGCTTACGTAAGGATTGGCCGGAGTGTTTGGTCGACCCGCTCAACATCGATTGGGGATTCGCTGTGCGGGGTGTTGGGCCAGTGATTTAGCAAATACTCGGCGGTGAATATGATTGGCGGGCTAGTCCCCAGTGATTATGATGCAATGCAAACATATCGGGGTGTTATTCGAATGCTTTCTGATCAGGGCATTTTTCGAGCGTTAGTGCGGGATGCAAGAGCGGGTGCTAGGTGAACGCTGGGCAAATCGGTTGAATCATGCATTGTTGTTACCGACAATTAATGCCAAAAAAGTGTGGCCACCGCGATTAGGCTAATAAATGAGCAATAAACAATGTACAACTCGTGTTTTGCATACTGAAAATGCCTTACGCTGCCCTCCGGAACACCAGTCGTAAAGCCAATCCATCGTCTTCGCACATCCACACGTTCAGAACTTCCGCCAAACGACCGAAACAACACTGTCGAATGCAAATTGCTTGCACATTGACCCCACAAACGCCATTCCTCCTATAGATAGACCTGTATTCGCCAGTATTCACATTTACACCCGACGCCTCTGCACGCCGACATTATCATCCTAGAGCCGGTCCGTGGTTCGGCCGACTCAGCCGAACACAGACCGGCTTAGCTGAACTCAGTCGAGCTCAGCCGAACTCAGTCGAGCCCAGACCGGCTCAGTCGAGCCCAGACCGGCTCAGTCGAGCCCAGACCGGCTCAATCGAGCTCAGGCCGGCTGGGACCGGCTTAGCCGACCACCAGTAGCTCGTCCGAGGTGAAGGTGTACTCGGGTACCTCCAGGTTCAGTGGTGCCGGTCCTTTGCGGATGCGGCCCGAAGCGTCGTAGTGAGAGCCGTGGCAGGGGCAATAGTAGCCGCCAAACTCGCCTGGGGGCACAGCGAACCCGGTCAGCACGGCGGGGGAATCGGGCCGCAGGATTAACGAAGCTCTCGAGTTGCGGGTCAGATAACAGAGATTAAACCGTGTCAGACTATCAGTGCGTAACATACTCAATTGCACACAGGGAGTCTACTCGCTGCTACCAAAAGCATTTCTTAAACCGTTCTAAATACGTTCACGCCTCAATCCACTCCTCAACCATTGCACTAGTTTGCTAAGTCCTTTTCAACACGCGCTTTAACACCCGGCCACTGTAATTGACCGATGCCGGCGATAGCGCGTCACGTACCGGAGTTTGCGATCGGCACGCAGCCCAGGTGGGTGCAGACGCCTACCAGCACCAGCCAGCGGTCCTGCTTCACGCGCACGTCGTCGTGCTCCGGGTCACGCAGGGTGGCCAGGTTGACGCTCTTCTCGGTCTGGATCTCATCGGCGGTCCTGCGGCGGCGAGCGGTAAGTACACGGTCAGAACCGGGCTGGGGCGGGGCGGGGTTAAGGGGTGCTGTCAGGTTGAAATTGGTGTGAATGACGATCAAGTCCGTTGCGGATCGCGAGGCAATTTCGCGACCCAACACAACCATTAGACACTAGCATTGTCAATCAAACCAGGCTTAAACGAACATACACATCACCAATTTGGCCGCATTACGATGAAGAAAACTTTAACCTTGGTCCCAAGCACGGGAACTCAACTCGTACAGTCCTTTCCACCGATAAGTCCCCTCGGAGAAGTCTCATCAAACACCGTCGGCCCACGGCTCCCCACCCACCTGTGGCGGACGAAGAGCGGCTTGTTGCGCCACTTGAAGGTGATGTTCTTGCCCTCGGGGATGTCGTTGAGGTTGATCTCAATCTTGGCCAGCGCCAGCACGTCAGCGGAGGCCGAGAGTGACGACACAAAGTGGGTCACGACAGACTTGGCGCCGTACGCCGCGCCCACACTGCCAGCTGCCAGAGGGGAGGGGGACGGGGTCAAGGTCTGCATCAGCGACGTCATTCATACGAAGACAAACTAGCTTCAACTAATATTTTGCAAGAATAAAACTTGCAAACTTTTATGTTTGATCGCACATTAATGTATTGTCCGAAAAATGAAACATTTATCCCCTATCCCAGAGAAAGTTATATTTGAAAGAGATTGTTGTGAATTCTACAAACTGTAGTGTAAGCCGTGCTTCATATTTCTAGTCTGCTGCCTGACCTACTCAACCCATTTGCACAGTGTGATTTCCCACAGCATTCACCTCCCACCAAGTCCTGTCTATGAATGTCTCCAGCCGACCTCACCCACTCATCCCCCGCTAACCTCCGGCCAGGATGTAGGAGAAGCTCTGACGGGAGGCGCGCGAATCCTCGGCGCGCGCGCGCGGGTCGGTGGTGGCGCTGCGCCGGTAGTCGCTGAAGTCGGGCACCTGCAGGTCCGTGTGGGCGCATCGTACCTGGGAGCTCACTGCGGGCATGGGCAGGGGTGGTCAGAAACTGTGAGCAGGGGGCAGGGGTTGTGAGAAACTGGGGGCATGGGGCAGGGGTTGTCAGAAACTGGGGACACCAGGCAGATGGTAGGCTTGCACACTGCCAGACTCTCCAAGGTGCAGGGAAAACTGGAGTAGTCAGGATCTCCATGTAGATGATATAGATACTGTGAAGCTGGAGTAGTCAGGATCTCCATGTAGATGATATAGATACTGTGAAGCTGACAGCTAAGATGTACCTATGTAGGTACATCTTTGTAGCTAAGCACAAGCAGTGTACCAAGGTAGGTGAACTGTTAGAAACATCTGGTATCTTGTTCACTATTAGGTAGGTACAACTTTGTAGCTAGGCACAAACAGTGTACCAAGGTAGGTGAACTGTTAGAAACATCTGGTATATTGTTCACTATCAGACTGACAATGCAGTGGGTGCACTGACTGTAACTATGTCAGAGTGTACAACAAAAAAAAAATACATGGAACCATAGGAACATGGTCATATGCAGTAAAAAAAAAACTTATATCAAATTTAATTGATCTTTGACTGATCAATTTTGATCAATTGGTACTTCAAGCCATAACCATCTGATGTGTTTAAATATGCCATCCAATTGACTTGACCATTTTCTGAACTTATTTATGAACTAATTGGCACATCTTGCACACCATGTATGTAGGTACCCAAAGTTCTATTGTAATTGACCTAGATTTTGTAGTGCCAAAAGTATCTTTGTAAGTAACTCTGGATAAGGAAATGTCAGCCTGGTCTTAGTACATATCCCAGCAGTTTCATTTTTACAATAATTTCATTTACACAAGTCTTATAATAAAATTGGTTATTTTATTGAAATTTGACATTATTGAAAGGACTGTTGATTGGTCATCTAAAATTCAGAGATACAGTTACATACTGCTAGTTAATCAGCCAATGAAGGTACTTATTGTGAGCTAGTTATGTGACTAGCTCACATTACTGCCATGCCAAGGCCTACTATGTGAGGTCAGACTCTGAGCTCACATTGTAGTTTTTGCCTTGGTATGGCAGATTAGCTCACAATGTGACTAGCTGACTTAACTAAGTAACATTTTGTAAGTTAATTCTATTTTGAAACAGCATACAGCATGATGATGATGATGATTAGGTAGCTAAAAGCTGCATTATTTTTATGATTCCGGTTAGATTGAATAGAATATGATTTAATGTTTCACAAATTTGCAAAGTAAAATAAACAAGCATTGCAAACATATACAACAGTGAACAAATACAACAATCAATAAGTGATAGAGATAAACTTATTTATGTATTTGAGGCCATTTAAAGCACCAAATACTGATCTAATACCCCCTGAAACTCGGAAAGGACATCAGGCGACGACATGAGGGAAATAGCACATTGAAACACATTATGATGTTATGAATATCTTAAATTCAAATTATCCTGGAAAATAAAAAATGCTTACCACCAAGTCCAACAGAAGCAATTGGTGCGGTTTTGGGAGCAATTGCATTACGTAAAATCTGGCTAGAAAGCTTAGGCTGCGCAGGAGCGGCAATTAGCCTTTCAGCCAAAACTGGATTTGCAGTCGCACCTGAGGGAATGACTTGGGTAGTTGCCCTGACCGCTGCTGCAATAGAGCTACTGCGAGCGAGCGCGTTCATTTTCGGAAATTTTGCAGAACACAGACACCAAAAAACACCACCCAAGCCCCAGTATCCAAGTGCACGGAGATAGAGAAACAGTTTTCAGATATGTAAATTGATCTTGCAAAAACAGAAGCGATTCGCTTTCTTTTTTATGCAAATATAATATGTTTGTTCAAATAGCTCCACCAAAAAATAACAACGAAAGGATTCAAGATCCATGTATAAATAAAAATATTGTTAGGGAAAATTCATCTCTATTTTTCTAGCGATAAATGACACAACCTCTAGTGTCCTAAATTGCCGAAAGAGGTCAGGACTGCACAAGTAATCCCGAGCTTTGGACAGTCCAACCTTGGTCCAATCCACGGTCATAATACTAGTCCAATCCAATCGATGGCTTTGGTGGATGGCTTTGGTCCGATCGATGAAATTTGAAATTGAAAAGCTCGATAGATGAACCCGAGATTACTGGATGAACCTCTTTAACGAAGCTTTGAAGAAAATGTCCTCGAATTTCGAAACAAATCACCCGTCCCTCGTTTTCATCCTCAGGATTTATCCTTCACCAGATAGCGGCGGAACACCTTCAATCAAGGGGGGGGGGGCACTGCCGAATTTTGGTAATTGGTCCCATTCTTTCTATGCAACGCCCATAGGGCTAGTGTTAAAATGCCAAAATCAAAGGGGGGCACCGTGCCCCGATGCCCTCCCGTTCCGCCGCCTATGTCCTTCACGCCGCAACCCTCGCTCCGGGCTGGACAGGCAACTTTATCTCATGCGGGCTGCTCCCTTGGAGCGGCACCGCTGCTCCCAGGGGAAGCGACACCCGTAGCCGGGTGCAGAGAGTACTAGGCCCCTAGTCTGGTCGGCCTGTCCATTCGGACGGGCTCAGCCCCGGTGACTCTCTAGGACGTGCACGCCCAGACCAACGTCTCTCCCTGATTCTGGATTCTTATAATCTTTCCGGCCCTGAAATGGTTCAGTCAGACCGAAATGACCCCCTACCCCAAAATCCATACGAACAATCACTTCCGTGATACTTTGTATGGAAGAGGAGAAACTAACGCGATTATAGGCATCGGACTTCTTTCTTGTGCATTCTCCTAGCCTGATCACAAGAAACGAAGAACCAAGAAGGGCCACTGACCCGACCCGGACCAAGGATCATGATCTAGGCTGACATAGATTGGATCTTGGTTCTGAGTTGACACTATAGAAATCGTTTTTCTGCATACCCAAGTGAATGAAAAAAAAAATCGTGGAGAATTTAGATTTACTGACATTTGAGACAGGAACCTACACAGTCAAGTGGCTTGGACAGTCAACTTCTGTAACCTGGAAAATGCCGCGAATCTGAACTGCAGTGGCTCGTAGTCTCTAGTAGCCCAGTTTATTCCAGTACCCCGGATAGTCCACTTGAAGTAACTGGTGATTTCATTCCAGTGACCTGGAGATGTGGCGCGTCAGCTCTATTGACCTGAAGACTGTTCCAGTAACCTGGAGGTCATTCCAGTGACCTGGACATTACTCCAGTGACCGGGACATTACTCCAGTGACCTGGAGACTGCTCCAGTGACCTGCAGACTGTTCCAGTGACCTGGAGACTGCTCCAGTGACCTGGAGACTGCTCCAGTGACCTGGAGACCGCTCCAGTGACCTGGAGACTGCTCCAGTGACCTGGAGACTGCTCCAATGACCTGGAGGCTGCTCCAGTGACTCCAGTGACCTGGAGACTGCTCCAGTGACTCCAGTGACCTGGAGACTGCTCCAGTGACTCCAGTGACCTGGAGACTGCTCCAGTGACCTGGAGACTGCTCCAGTGACCTGGAGGCTGCTCCAGTGACCTGCAGAATGTTCCAGTGACCTGGAGACTGCTCCAGTGACCTGGAGACTGTTCCAGTGACTTGAAGACGACATCAATGACCTGGATAGTTCACATGAAGGTGATATAAATGGTGTTGCATGGATGACCTGTAAAACTATTGACTGTAATGATGACATTAAGGTTTGCCAATAAATGAACCAAAGGGCTCACTGATGTACTTATGACAATGGGTACCTGTCTTACTGTGACATACCTATTCAATTTCATGACTGGTCCACTGGCATCACTTTAAGCTGTACAACAATTAAAATTAGTAGTACCTATCTTGCAGTCTAACTGCTGCTTGAAAGTTGAAAAGGAACATAACCTAAAGGCAAAGGTTAGCTGCAAATACATGGAAGCCAGATGTCAATAGACATAGTGAATGTGTCCCCAAATACATTCTGATATATGCAGTCACTTCCATCAATCATTCCTGCAAGTATAACTAATAGCAAACAGCACATGCACAATGACTGACATTTTTATTGCAATGGCATCAACAGCTTTACAAAAGACTTTGAACTTTCCAGTGGAATTGATTGATTTACCACAAAATAGATATGAAAGGCCTGGTCAAGTCATACTTTATGTAAGGACACAGGCACAGCTTTTTAAATCTTGTTGAAGGCAGCAACATCAACACTCTGGACATAATCCTCAAACTCCTCAATCTTCTCTGTGAGTTCTTCAATGGAGACTTTGTCATCTTCTACTGTGCACATGATGGTGAGCTTCTTGATGCCAAAGGCCAGAGGTACGAGCTTTCCTGCGCCCCAGAGGAGACCATCCATCTCAATGGTGCGCACCACCTTCTCCAACTCTGCCATGTCAGTTTCATCATCCCAAGGTTTCACATCAAGTAGCACTGAGGACTTGGCAATGAGGGCTGGCTTCTTAGACTTTTTGGCAGCATACGCAGCCACCCTTTCAGCCTTGATACGCTCTGCCTCTGCAGATTCTTCCTCATCATCACTACCAAACAGGTCCACATCATCATCATCATCGTCATCCTTAGCAGCAGCAGGAGCTGAGGCAAGCTTGGTGTCAGCAGGTGCTGCAGAGCCATTCACCTTCAGCTCCAGCGCTGACAGACGCGATTCCAGTTTCTTGATGACTTCTGACATGTCGCTGCACATTTTCCTGAGTTCAGCATTCTCCTGCTCGATGACGGAGACCTTGGAAATGACATCGCCACCAGCCCCCGCGCCTCCGGCCTGCAGCGATTTCTGAATCTGCTGCCTAGCCTTGGCGATCTCGCTGGCCACGGACGATGCCGGCGTAGCAGATGGAGTCGCGAAGCCCCGCGAAAGCCGCTCGTAGTGCTTGCGTTCCGCATCATCGTGAGTGGCTTTGTCGAACCATAGCAGGTCCTTCTTGGGTTGACCACTGCTGACCATTTTGATCTATATAAAGTCGAAAAGGTGTGTAAATCTCACAACATACACACAACGATACGAACGGGGCAACTCCGGCACGTGAAAGGAACATGAACGCGTCAGACGTGTCTGACTAATAGTGCTGTTTCGTTGAAACGCGACTTACTTGAAACGAGCAAGTACTTTTAATAAAGAACTTAAGCTTGCATTTCTGCATAAAAACGGCAAGGGATAAACAAAAAATAAATTCAATTAATATAAATTGACAATTCAATAACAAATCTAGTGTTTACATGGAAACTTAGTATCTTTTTTGTTCCAGATGAGGTACTTGGAAAGAAAGAAAGTACGTCTATCCAGCTCTATGACTTGCTTGGCAAAACGGCGCAGATGATACAAAAACAAATCTCGTTATTGTGTAGCGAATATATATGTTGCTGAATATCAATATTACAGTCAAGTATAGCAGTAATCTACGATTATTTGACATCAAATCAAGTCACTGTCTAGGGGTGAGAGTGTTACTTTTATTGCTTTTATCTTATCATAGATGACCAAGCATTGGATCACCGGCGGCCAGAACCTTTTCCTTTTCGCATTGGTGCTCGAATTTCAGGTCCTAGCCTACCTAGTACCTATGACCTATCTATCTGATGCACATACAAAACGAAAAGTTCAATTTCAACTGTCACTGTTGAGTGTTGCTTGTTGATTGGTGCTGCAGTGTTTAACACTTTTATTTCAATTCTAGTGTATCTAGAGCCGAGGCAAGTTTTTGTAAGTGTTGTTGTCCTTGGTTGTGTCGTACTTGTTAAAACATTGGTTTCCCAGTGGACAGTGGAGTGGCTAGAACCTTTTCCCATTCCTCTGCCAGTCTGGGAACTGAGCCGGCCCTGCTGGGCACTGGCTGCTGAGTGGGGGAGCTCTCGTTTGAGGAGTAGGCAGTTGCGCTGCTGCTGCAGGCCATCAAACCTCAATCAGCTTATGCCAAACAAGACCTAGAATATTTGTGTTGTGATAAAGAAATCAGCACTTGTTAAAAAATGCAATACATTATCCATGGCTGAAGAGTGAAGGCTCATTGTTCATTGCTGACCATGTCAATTTGGTGCCTTCTCCATCTCATTTTATTGGACAAGCTACACTAGCAGATAGCTTGAGTGATTAGGGTGGTACTGCTGCCTACCATGTTAAGGTAGTGCTGCTGACTCCTCCATAGAAAAGTATCATCAATCCATAGTAAATATGCATCACACCAAGCACAACCTACTACTGAGTGACCCTGCACAGTGCAAAGAAAGTATATATTTGAATTGAACGTACCATGCTTTACAGTCTGGCCAGTTGCATTACAATATTGATCCAAAGTTGATAAGAGAAGCTATGTTTAGTCCTGTGTGTACTCGAGTACTCCAGTGCAGGACAGTGGTGTTTACTCTATCTGTGTAATATTTCAGACAGGTGACCGGCAGCGATGGACGATGGTCTGGCTGAGGCGGTGGCCGCCGCCGGCGCGGGCGCCGAGCCGGGCCCGCTGGCGGAGCTCTCGTTCGAGGAGCAGGCCGTCGAGCTGCTGCTGCAGGCCATCACCGTGGTGTCTGCCGGCGCCATGGTGCTCGGCGGCGCCGTGCCCTACATCCCGCAGTACCTGGAGATAAAGCGGAACCAGAACACGGACGGATTCTCGCTGTTCGTCTGTCTCGCCCTGCTGCTGGCCAACACGCTACGTATCCTGTTCTGGTACGTTGGGAGTACAGTGTAGCTTAGCCATGGGTCACTGATTACTGATATTGTCGACTTTACCATCTAAAGACCTCTAGTATGTAGCATGTTTGTGATATCATGACGTAACTACGATGTGATGTCACGTCGTACGGTGTAGCAGTGCGACGTCAAACGTGTAGCGTTTGGCATTACGATTGTGTAACATTGAGGCGGCAATCGGCATAGCACCTCAGTTAGCGTGAATGAGTGACGCGAGTGACATAACGAGTGACTTAGTGCCCCAGCTGCTTAGTTCCGTGTAATCCGGGGACAGTGGGATAGGACAGCAGTGTGACGATCACGATGTGACGACGTGTGATCAGTAGCGATGCAACGGTGCCGAGTAACGGATTCGGGGTAATGACGGTATCGAGTAACGGAGTTTCAATGTTTCAATGTGAACTGATGGTGTGACGAGTAACCGTGTGACGTACACGTATTACGAGTGTCGATGTAACAGTGACGACTATTGATGTGATGTACCTAGCGTCAGTGCTGTATGATGCTTGAAGTTCGAACAGATGACATATATGACAGCCCATGACGAGTAACGCTGCGACTGAGTGACAGTATGACTGCTCCGCCGGCAGGATGGGCCACCCGTTCGAGCTGCCCCTGCTGGCCCAGAGCGTCATCATGAACGTGGTGATGCTGCTACTGATTCACGTCTGTGTTACCGTCAAGGCCCGTCAGCAGATCGTCAAACACAAGGAGCGCACATTCACTGGTATGTTGACGGAAAGGGCGCGGGGAAGGGAATGTGACGCATTCGTTACCCGATCAGTGACGTAGCATTTAATAGATACGGTCGTTGTTGAGACGACCTAGAGGTCAGAAACAGGCATGGCGTTGAAGCCAATTTTTCCCATCTGGATCGGGTCTGGATTCAGAGTTATCGGGCCCCTGTGTGTTTCGCGACAACAGTCTGGTGGTCGGAGGTATGCTCTTTGCCGTGTTGTGCGTTGTGTTTGCTGATATTTGATCGGTGTCAATGACGTACCGTCTTTTGTCGGCAGATTTCGACATGCGCTACTTCTGGGAGTGGACCGACTTTGAGTCGTACGTGGAGTGCATGCTCACCTTCGCCCTGGTGGGATCCGTCCTCATGTATTTCCTGATTGGTGAGTGGCTGATGTTATAAGTCACCCGGAAAGTATATTTTAAACTGCAATGAAACGTGACTTCTACACCTAAGAGTAAGCCCGTCATTGACTATTACTCCTGGTCTAGTGTGGCAGCAACAAGCAAAATTTTGTATTGGGCTTAAATCGGAAGAACATTCAGCCGTTTGATTGGCCGTATGTGTGTAATTGTATGTACTTATCGCTCACCTGCCACTCAGTCTAGTTGAACTCGTTGAGTGGGTTATGTCGTGCCACACAGTTTTCGCCGTTTGTGTTTGATGGCACATTTTGTGGCCTTGTCATGATTCTTTACGTCCTTTTCAGATAATCCATGGTTCGTGGAAACGGTGGGATTTTTGGCTGTGTTTACCGAAGCCATGCTCGGGGCACCGCAGTTTTACAAGAACTTTGAGCAGAAGTCAACCTACGGAATGAGGTATGTGCTTATCACGCAGTGTTTTTCTACTGCTTATGTTTTTAGTTTTGTTCTGTCTTTGTTTCTATAAGCTGTCATGATGATAGTGGCCAATCAGTTATCATATTTACTGGCTATAATTCAGCCGAGTTAGGGCAGGATGTTATTATTTATCATTTAACTTTTAATCATTTTTGAAAACATTTTACGAAGTAGCCATATGACGCCATGCGATCGTTCACTTGATAGGAAAAGTGCCCAAGTTAGGGGCATTTTTCATAAGATCTGCACACTACGCCCATGACTTGTCTCGTGCCCGTGACCTAAGACCCGTCCCCTACCCCTCCCCCTCCCCCTCCCCCTCAGTGTGAAGATGGTGGTAATGTGGACGTGTGGCGACACGTTCAAAACCGTCTACTTCATCGTGCGCTCGGCGCCGGCGCAGTTCTGGCTCTGCGGCTTCCTGCAGATGGGTATCGACGTGGCCATTCTGGCGCAGGTCGCCTACTATCGGCAGGACACGCTGCGCCGCCGCAAGAGCGACCTCGGTCGGTGACGCGCCGAACCGCAGCTGCACCGGCTGGCGCCAGGCGGCGCTGCGGTCGGCGCACACCAGCCGATGTAAGTGGCGCTGCGGTCGCCTGTGTATTGTAGTTGCCGGGGTCACCGGCAGGTGGCGCGCAGAGGGGTGCTGTGGGTGTGTGGAGCGGGATTCCACAGACGGAGAGCTCCCACTAATCGCAGCAGTGAACGGTCTCCCCACCGTCCCTCCGGCCTGTCGTTTGTCCTCCGCTACCCTAACTGCGGTTACTAGAGGTCCCCCCCCCCCCCCCCCCTGGGCTACCTTGGATGGAATCACTGCCTGGCTGGCCACGGGAGCAGCTATCGGACATACCGTGACCCTGGACTGAAGGCGGAGCGGTGCTATAAATGTACTCAGTTCCCAGGGTGTTTTTAAGGCGACTTCTCCTCGAGTTCCTTCAATCGGAACTCGCTGCGATGAGGACTACGGTACGGAAGAACAACGATAATAGTCATATGTCTAATCAATCGTTTGTGGGGTAACAACGATGGTATCAATGTTGTGTTGCGAGATGCAGCTGCTGTGTTTCCGTTTGTGATAAGAGATTCAGACGTTTTCTTATCAAAAGCGGGTCCCAATCATGACTTGAGTGCTTGTGAAAGCAGATAATTAGCGTGCCAATAGTCGCTCGGATAGTGTGATTGTACGACCTGAACAGTTACAGATGTCGCCCGAATATCTTATGAGACATCTGTCGAGAGGAGATCAGATCGTGTCCTGTGATTATTCTACGTGTCTTACCGCACGAGCTATAGGAAATTGGAGTTTCCTGCTAATTGAGTTCCCCTCGCCTACTTCCCATTGTGATTTGGTGTGGTCCTATAAGTGATTAAACAGCCTCGCTTGAAGAAGATCAACTTGTCTAATTCCTATTTATAAATGCATGCCATATGTTTCCCGTAAGCTTCGGTTTTAGCTTCTGCATTCCCGTGTGATCCGTTGACAGTTTCTTTACTTTGCTGACGGTATGCGACAGGAGAGTCTCTTGAAGAGCATACTATCAGTGACTACTGCTAGCTAATTCGGCTGATTAGCTTGCTTATTGTGTCGTTATTTTACCATGCCTTTGAATGCTGATAGGCAGAGAGATTCTGGAGAATCAGTGCCTTCGTTTGAGCCGGGTCCGTTGAAGGGCGAGGCGCGGCCACCGGTAAGTCGATCTCAGGCGCACACTTGTACTCCTGGTGCTTCTCTTGCCTTCGCACGTGTGTTTTGTGGCGTATGCGCCGCCGTGCGTGCCCCTGTCGCCTTCACTTGTAGGGACTCGGTGATTTTGTGTTACTCGATATTGTGGGCTTCATTGTGTACACTAACTGAATACAGAAATGATTCAGGACGCAATATGTCGGTCTGTATCGAGCTACCCATTTACTGTTTTATTATTTACTATTTGCGCGCTGTAATATGTCTACGATTCCTGAAGTGTCATGAGCATGACATGTCATGATTCTCAGGCTTTCGTGTTCTCACATTTTCCACATCAGTATGTTTGATTTACCATCACAGCCCGCGAGTGGGTTAGATATTCGTTTCCAGGTTAACCACTCACCAATTAATCATGAAACCATTAACCACATGTATCAAGTCAGCTGAGCTACACTTGGTGTATTTATTGCCGCTTTTTCACATGGAAACAGTGCATCCGTATTCCGTGCCCAACTGCACAGAGATTCCGAAAACGAATGTACGCCTCGACGTCGACACATCTCTACGTCACCTCTCTCCATCAGAGAAGATGAATAGTGCGTTCTTACGGACTTGGAATTGGTGGCACCCGACCGTTGCAGCAATATGGGTGCCTGCGACTTGCATCTATAAATATAGTGTAGGTACTCTAATAATGTACCGCATAAGGCATCACTATGAGTCCGTAACCACGGCCGCTAACAAGTCGGCAAGTCCCAAACCACCGTTATACAATGTGCACTGTGCAGTGTGCACCGAATCGGTAGCCTCTCACAAATGGTGCACCGCTGTCACATGTCAGGCGATGCTGGACCTGCTGCAGAAGGCGCAATGAAGACCACTGGATCATCAGTCCGTGGGGCGCCGGTCGCATGGTACAGCCCACCGCTAAAGTAATGTAGGGTTTTACCAAACTCAACGGTTGGCTTTGACTGGCGATTGTTTAATGCGAAGTGATTGAAAAGAAGATGTCAATAGCTAAAGTTGCAGCTGCAAGGGTGACGATACATATAAGCTACATTCAAAGTTTCATTGTAGTCTGGCTAATCGTTCCTAAGCTTCAGAAGCAGAACATACCCATGACTGAAACCCCACATTACTTCTGCTATGGACTGTACATGCGATGCATGGAGGACCACAGGATCCACCTTCGTTATTCAGTGATTGTCTCATCCACACTCGGACTTGGCCCATTTTCTACTGGATACTAAATAATAATTCATGTGCTGGTTCGCCTGCGGAATAAACACCACTGAAGGCACATTCTGCCTGACACTCCGGCGCAATCTGACACCTCGTTACAATAAAACACAACAGTCCCACTCAGCTTGCTTACGATAAAACACAAGCTGGTCGGGTGTGACCCGGCATTCAGTACCACAAAATCCCTCTCGCACAGCCTTATGCCCCACCCGTAGCTACACAACAGGTCCTCTGGATGGGTCACCCCACAAAGACCGTAAGGCAACTCTGAAGGCACACAGTTAACCAATATTCGGCCCGGAGCACGAGGCACGTGGGTACGTGGTCCGCGAGTGCGAGGTGCGCCACACGTGGGCTGACACGTGCCACGAGGACGGAGGAATGGGGCGGACAGGGTGCACCGTGGCGCACAAATTTCCCGCTCCTTACACTGTTGAAATGATCCACGATCTACAGCGTTTTGGCTTGCGCACTACTTGCTCGCCATCAAACCGGAATGATTCATCCTGACGACATTTCTACACTAGCGCTGACCCGATGCCTCTACGGGTACTTCAGGGACGCTGGTCGCACCTATCTCAGCCCTGCGAGCACCCACCCAGAGCACAGGAGCACCGTCATCTGACAGAGCACCACCGGTGCTCCGGCCGCCTGTTTAGCCGTTTCGTCCGGTCGCTCTGTGGTGCCCGCTGCTGCCTCCTCTCTGGGTTTGACCGGCGGCGCTCGGGGCCGGGCCGGCTGCGGCGCTTTGGAAGGAATCTCTGTGGTCGCAGGGAGAGGGGTCGGCACCGCCTTGGGAGCCGCCGGCCGCGCGTTCTCCTTCCGTTTGGGGAAGATGGTCTTGTCGGCGGCTGATCCGCACACTAGCTGTACGCGAGAGTGAAGTTCCAGCGCCGGAGGATCGCCGTGCCAGTAGTAGACGTGGTACGAGCAGTGCAGGTTGGAGGAGAACGATACAGAGTCGAACACGCACTCTGCCGAGCGGGGCTCGCCCGGGTCCGAGGTGACCAGACGCGTGTCACGCGGACACATGTCACATAACGTGACGTTACGCTCGTTACGCATGCAGCGAGCGCAGCGGGAGGGCCAGTCGAAGCAGTGGTTCATGTTGTTACTACAGCAGTTGCTGAAGGCTTCGTCGCTGCCCGGACAGTCGTCCCACTTGAACGGGCAGTTCTGGCACACGCGGCCCGTGTAGCCCGTCTCGCACGTGCACGTGCCGCAGTCGCACGTGCCGTGGCCGGAGCACAGTCTGCCGTCGACGCCCCGGCACCGGGAGTCATCGCATGTGTCCACCTCACGCGCGACCCGCACCCGGTCCTCCTCACACGACGAACAGCTGGCGCCGGGGCCGAGCGGCGTTAACAGCGACACGCAGCGGCGGTCGGCTGAACTAGCGTCACTGCACCAGGCGCAGGTGGCGCTGCTGTCTGCGCAGTCTCGGCAACTGGTGAACTGACTGCAGTCTGCAGCCGGGCCGACAGCGTGAGCTGAAACAGAAAGGAGACGGGGTTTGTTACTGGGTGATTTGAACATGCTTCAGCAGATGGTTTGACCAGATCACTGGCTGGCTCCAAGCTTGAGGGGTGGCTAACGAGGGTACAGTGACTTAGGGGATTGTGGGCCAAGGGGACCGTGACCTAGGGAACTTTGACCCAGGGGACCGTGACCCGAGGCCCCTAGGTCACGGGACCGTGACGAGTGCTGTGACCTCAGGACCTGACCTGTGGCTTGTGCTGTAGCTTTCATGAGGTAAAAAAAAAACATTAACGTTTCATGATTGTTATAAATTGTTATAACTTTTACGTTGAACCTACAAAACAGTCCGACATTATGAACTTCATTATGTTTGACAACGGTACGCACGTTTGACTATATTATGTTGTGACTATATTATGTTTGACTATATCACATTATCAGTGTCGATCGATTTAATTTTGCTCAGAACAGAACTATTTTAGCCCTAGTTCGCGAGGGTGAATTCAGTTTTGAATGCATCCGAGTGATGGGCCTCTAGTTGCAGGGGTCAAGTGGCAGGCGCAGATGAATTCCATTTGCGTCAGCAAAAAGCAATTAATTTGTGGTATATGCTTCTCTTCAACATAAATCCCTATTAAGAGCACAACAATGGAGAAACCCCTCCTGCCTGTCGTGATTTTGCATAATACAGAATGATTGCGTCCTAGTTTCAATATCGTGAGTCCGTTTACTAAACACCGACACAGTTCGCTGTAACGGATAAGCCGATCCAGTGCGTTTCTGCGATTCAGGGAAATGTGATTAAGCTGTGTGGATTGAAATTAAAGGCGACAGTAAAAAATATTTATAAGGTAGGTACAGGGGCGGATCCAGGAAAACTCCAAGGGGAGGGTCATGAATCGAAGTGGTGCCCCTACCTATACCCAAAATTAAAAACTCAACGGATTTCGTCCACTTCATTTTGGTGTGCCCCCATTTTCAGTTTTTTATTTTTATTTTTATTTTTAGTCAATATCTTACCTCTTAGCCACAACCACATTTACCAATTGTAAGCAAGTATATATGAATGTGCTATGTGTATATATGTTGTGGACGCTGAGTAATGAGTACTTACCAGGGACGTTATCAGGTAAGCAAATCGTTGTCAGTCCGACGAACTTGACCCTGGCGTCTAAAGGGTCTGTCCTTGACACTTCAGGCTTGTCAGGGGCACCAAAGTCCTTCCAGGGACACCACAAACCTGTCAGGGGCACCTACGGCCTTGTAGGGGCGCCACAGGCCCGCCAGGGGCACCACAGGCCTGCCAGGAAGCAGGGGCTACACGACAGGCCTGTCAGGGGCACAACGGGCCTGTTGGGCCCATGAGCACCCCTAGGGGCAGGGGCACCACAGTCCTTCCAGGGGCACCGCAGGCCTGTGAGGGGCACCAGCGGCCTAGCAGGGGCACCAGTCAACACAGGCCTGCCAGGGGCACCACAGACCTGCCAGGGGCACCAGAGGCCTGCCAGGAGCACCACCGACCTCGCAGGGGTAACTTGGGCCTGTCAGGGCCCAGGGGCACCACGGGCCTGTCGAGATGCACTTCAGGCTTTTCAGGGGCACCATAGTCCTCTCAGGGCGCAGGGGTAGCAGGGGCACCAGAGGCCTGCCAGGGACACTACAGGCCTAGCAAGGGCACCACTGGTCTATCAGGGGCACCACGAGCCTGTCATAGCCAGGCATCTCAGGCTTGTCAAGGCCCAGCGGCACCACAGGTCTGTGAGGGGCACCAGCGACCTAGCAGGGGCACCAGTCAACACAGGTCTGCCAGGGGCGCCACAGACCTGCCAGGGGCACCAGAGGCCTGCCAGGGGCACCACCGGCCTCGCAGGGGCACCTTGGGCCTGTCAGGGGCACGACGGGCCTGCCGAGGGGCACTTCAGACTTTTCAGGGGCACCAGTCCTCTCCGGGCGCAGGGGCACCAGAGGCCTGCCAGGGGCACCAGCGGCCTAGCAAGGGCACCAGAGGCCTGCCAGGGGCACCACAGGCCTAACAAGGGCACCACGGGCCTGTCAGGGGCACCTCAGGCTTGTCAGGGCCCAGGGACACCACAGTCCTTCCAAGGGCACCGCTAGCCTGTCAGGGGCACCAGAGGCCTGCCAGGGCACCACAGGCCTAGCAAGGGCACCTCTGGCCTGTCAGGGGCACCTCAGGCTTGTCAGGGCCCAGGGGCACCACAGTCCTTCCAGGGGCATTACAAGCCTGTCAGGGGCACCAGAGGCCTAGCAAGGGCACCACAGGCCTGCCATGGACACCACAGGCCTGCCAGGGGCACCACCGGCCTTGCAGGGGCGCCTCAGGCCTGTCAGGGGCACCACGTGCCTGCCGGGGACACTTCAGGCTTGTCAGGGGCGTTACAGTCCTGTCAGGGCCCAGGGGCACCAGGCCCGTGGTGTCCAAGATTCCTTTACTACTCAGGTTGGTTCACTAGGGAAATAAAGGCGCCGTGGTGACGTCATCAGAGGAAATCCTTCACATTCAAATGAAGGGGTGATTTGAATTGCTGATTTTGGCTCGATATAGGCCTACTTTTTTAGTTTCAGTCCCATTTATCGTAATGAGGCCAATTCATTGTTACATTGGTACATCTTTTGATGACATATAAGCCTTGATTTTTTCTCCAGCTCGCCCGAAAGATGATGAAATTTGCATGCATGCCTATGGGTGAAGGGAGATTCTGCCGCCGTGGTGACGTCACGGTAAAGGGATTCTGGAGCTCGTGAACGGGGGCTGGTGGTGTCCCTGCTAGGCCTGTGGTGCCCCTGGCGGTCCTGTGGTGCCCCTGTCAGAACTGTGATACCCCTGATAGGCCGGTGGTGCCCCTGGAAGGTCTTTGGGCCCCCGGGCCTCAAGGGGGGGGCCATGACCCATGTGACCCCCCCCTTGGATCCGCCCCTGGGTAGGTAATGAGAAAATCATCAGCAATGTCACGAAGTTTCTCCATTCAAGCTATCCAGTCATTTATGTCCAAATGCTGCCACTGTTTCAGTGTTTGTACATCTTCAGTAGGTAAATGCCTAATATCGATAGTCATAATATTATTTCATCAAACTCATCGCGGCTATGTGCGTAATTAGGTGGCTACTAAACGGTGTTCTAGGAATCAGCACAGCAACTTTTCAGGTGACGCCAGATTTAAACCCATTGTTACCTTAACGGTCTCAAATCTCATGCGCTTAAATACTTCAGCCAAAATGATGGGCAATTCCGGGGATATAGGACATAATCTAGCTTAATTGGCTGGCAGCTTTCAACATATTCATAGCAGCTCAGTCCCCCCCCCCCGTTTCCCTCCCCACCATCCGGCACAGTTACGCCCCTGAGCCGGTTCTTGGACTCGAGCGTATAGCTCGGTAAGATACCCGACATCTGGGTGCTAAGTGATTCGAGCGATTACCGTCGGAAACTCCGGGCCAGATCAGCTCGTTCCGGCCGTTTACGCGCAACATATACACACAGGAGACGGCCTATCACACGCGGAATGTAAACATTTACCGACAGGGCATTCCAGGCCGGTGTCGGTGGGGTCACCCGACCCGCCGCGGGTGCGATCCGTGCACCATGAGCTGCCCCCGTCACAGTGGGTCCGACATTAGTCACTCCGTCGGGGGGACGTCTGGTATACCTACTACATCTACGGTGCCATCGTCAGTTCAGCCCTTTGTCCGCAGCTACGCTACCGTCATCAGAGGTCCTGTACGGCCGCCATCCGTCCGCGTCATCCCATCACCCGTATACCATTCCGTCATCCCTTTTAACCTCACCTATCTCGCAAGTCCCAGCCCTTTGGAAGCTGGAAGATCGCGGCACGGTTGCAGGCACGACTGGACCCTCATGCACGCTCCGAGGTAACGGTCTCCAACTCTCCGCCTGACGCCTGCACTTATCGGCTGACAAGTTGACGTACACAGCCTGTGACGGCTATGACGGCTGTGACGGGCGCAGTTGACGCGTGCCGAGCATCGCACGGCTATCTCGGGGCGCCAGGGTGTCGCTCATGACATGACGCAGCCCCTGCAGCGGAGCCGATCGAGAGATAGTCGGAGATTGGAGAGGGGGTTGACTTTGGGAGCGAGAGAGAGCTGTGAGGGAGAGTGGATTCGTGAGTGCGGGACTAATATCGAGCTTGCTGAATGTTTATGTTTCGATAGCTGACAAAAGAATAACACCAAAATAAGGTAGTTTACCCCATTATTTGCAAAGAATATTGCCACTCCCTGCTCGGGCAAATCAACAAGTTGTCCTCTCAGTTGCACAGGCACATTTCAATCAAAAGTAAGTCTGTGATGGAGCCGTCAGCCGATTACTATTTGTTAATGAAGTTCTAGTGTATGTAGAGGGGTGATGCAAGTAGGTAATGAATACAACAAATCAACCTACCCGGATTCACCTTTGAATCAACATAACTTTACCCTTCCAAGGCTAACTCGTCGCCGTAGCTGGAGGCATGCTTTCATTTCTTCAACAGGCAGCGCCTCGGCTTGGAAGCGGATCATGCTTGTTCCTATAGCCGATACAGGCCCACACCATAATCAGATCCCATAAATCGGACAATGGAGAGGCCTCCACCAATTGCCAGCTACATGCTCACTTTCAGACAAGTCTCGTAGAAGCCTATCTGGAGATCTACCGGGGAGTCATTACCCGGTCTGCAGAGCACGTGACCCGGCCCTCTTCCCCCCCCCCCTGTCTGCCCTGTCTGCACGTGCTCGGGAGTGTGGAACAGCATCTTGCGCAGACTGCATGAAAAGTCTATGTTAGCAGCGAGCTTCTTGGTTGGGGGGGGAGGGGGTCGGAACAGAAAGACGACCAAACGGACCGATGGAACCAATGGACAACTAACAGAACCTGCCGATATCGGCCCACTGCAAAATAACGGACACAACATGGAAAAGAGCGATTTTTGAAAATGCGCCGAATCGATTGCAATGTTTCCTAATTATTTTCGCATTAGCTATTTTCGTACTATAT